TATTTCTGGTTATATACTCGATGTGTAAATCTAAGGTATTTTTCTCCACAGTGGTCCGATCGTCTAAAAACCAAGAAAGATTTAATTCAATCATCATACCGTCCGAAACGGGAACAGCTTAAAGTAAAGCCGGACGTGAAACTGCCATATTTCTTAGCTGCGAGAACATCGCTATTACAAGTTGAAAAAACTTCAAGTGCCAACGTTAGAAAAAATACTCAGAGTGACGTCAATAAAGTTATTATTGGGCAGGTAATGTATGACTTTTTGTGCTATAATATTGTTTTTCTTTAAACATGAATACTGCCCTCCTTGTCATAACTGACGTATTTGACATTTTTAACGAAATGGAGTTATTAACATATCTGGAATTAGCTAAACGAGAACCCTTTAACCGACTTCAAAAAAGGCGGAGGTTCTGAATTCTACTGTATTTTTTTTAAATATATGTTACGCGATAATTCCGGAATTTGTGAACCGATTTTGATGATCCTTTTATTGGAAAGAAGGTACCTCAGTATTGGTTCCATTTAAATTTGAAGAAAATATTCCACGGGGAACGAAGCCGGCTTCGCGCACTTTCCGGTAACCGACTTCAATAAAACTTGGCAAATAGATGTAATTCTAGGAACCTTTGAAATCGGTTTTTTTAGTACTCTGTACTGAGATTATTTTTGTATCGTATTTAGTTTCGTCTTATTGTTTCGCAAAATTTGGGTAATTGATATTTTTCAAATTAAAAAAAAATCTTTAGGTGCTTATATCTCGCAAGTTACCAAAACGCAATGCGCTAGTTATGACAAAAAGGACAGAATAGAAAAAGGAACATTTATTCAAGTGTTTTAAAAAATCGAACATTTTTAACACCGTACATTTTTTTTATTTAAAAGAAACAGGCCCTGCATTGGTAAAAATGTGCTTTCGATTACCTATTATTCCAAAATCAATTTACAATTAGATCTGACGCAAACATGACGTAATATATTTCTTTTTTTATAACTCCGAAATGATTGACTGATAAGTGATAACCATGTATAGTTCCAGAATCTGATGGCCCTTAGACAAATTTCAATTTGTATTGGGCAACATCATTATAGTCGAAAAAAATGTAGTATATATAAAGTTAAGTAATTTCTGACACAATTTAAATTTAAACATAAATATATCAGTTACATTGTAAATGATAGATTTATTTACATTTGCAGTTTGAAGTAACTCGCATTTACGCAATTTATCTTTTTTTTTCCAATCATTGTCTACACAATGTAGTCTTGCCGACCTGCACCAGTACCAACAAAAATTACATACCACATACATTGATTTGGCTTCATTAAAATTTCAAAGATCAAATTTCCTTTCTCTTACTAATCGGCAAGATTTGGGACCCGATGCACCTAATTCGTCGCTGATTTTGCGACAAACATTATTATAATGTTTTTTTGCTTGAGATTGAAGCGGCTGCTCAATAATTATAGATACAAAATCGTTATTTTCAAGAGAAAAAATTTTAGCAGACAGCCATTTGACACAAGTAATATTTTGAATTGACATGTGACAAGTTAACACTACCAAGTGAAATTCGTTCGATTTTTCTAATATTTAATGCCATGAGATTCTGGTACACTTATGTAAATTTTTTTTTAAGATTGAATGTTGTTGAATTTAAAATTGTAAATCGCGTGCTTGCTATTTATCCCGTTCCATTGTTTATACAAGTTATGTTGTAGCTATGAGGTTAGAGACGTGACTTTTTCACGATGCAGGACCTTAATAAGTCTAATTTATGTAATATCGTCCCCTTGGTATAATAAAGTTACTTGTGATCATACGTGAAAAGTTCTTTATATTAAAAATTATAACAAACTAGTGGAGAAATTTCACAATAAATACTTGGATATGGTGAAACACTCTGACATTCAATAAAAACTTCATTTGTTTTATTTTTAAAGTAATAGTAAATTTAGTATGTGAAATTGTATAACTCTTCTATTTAGCAATAAAAAAGTTATCGACTAATTTTTAAATGTTTCTTCTGAATAGTTGTCATGTTACGGTTATGACCTTATTACACCAATGGTGCGACATACTGAGTACTGAAAATATTTTTTTTATTACAGTAGTAAATGCCATGTCGCTTTGTGAGTTTTCATTGCACTTTTTCATTTTGCGTGTGTCATTCAAAACAAAACTGTTATGCCAGATTATAAATTTTTATGCAATAGTGACCTTTATTCATTGACATTCTGAACCCAGAACGACATTTTGGCTGCCTGATAATATTGTTACTATCAAAAATCATATCTGGGATCTCTCACTCAGCTATTCATCAAATAACGCAGTAAACACACGAGGACAGGACCTGAGTATTTAAAACCAGGGTTGTTGTTGATGTAGGTCTTTAACACATCAGCGGATGGTGATGCTGATTTCTTGAGCTTAGCATCAGTGGATGCTGATGTATTTTAGCGTTTTAGGGATTTAAAAAATCCTTACTGAATCTATTTATGTGAAAAAGTTTTTTAAAACTATTTTCTTTGGTATTGTCATAAAATCGCCTCATCCGAAGAACAGACTCCGACGTTATTATACAGCGATACGAGGGTAAATATATAATCTCGATATTCAAACAGAGGCCTATCTATCGTTTTCAGAATTTTTATATGTTATTTTGTTTCGGAAATATAAAAGATCGATCTGATATCCGCATGCGAAAAACAACGATAGATGTACAGTGTCCTCAGAATAAGCAGCTTTGCACATAAGTCTTTGTTCTACGGATGAGGCGAAATATTTCAATGATTTTGTGATATTTATTAACAAAAGAATCAATCTTCATGAAAACAATCTTGAAGACTCTAGTAGCTTTAGAGCACCTTGTGAAAGAGTTCGTCCAGGGAAGTACTGCTACCTTACCTATTTCTGCAGCCAAGCAGTAATGTCAGCGTTACTGTGTTCCGGTCTTGAAGGGTAAAGGGTGCTGCTGAAATTACAGGCACATGAGACTCGTCAACTTACGTCTCAGGGTGATAGGCGCATAATGCTCTGAGTGGCACTGCAAGTGTTGTGTATAGGCGTATAGCTTACCATCAGGCGCACGTCTTGTTCGTCCCGTCACTTGATATTATAAAAAAAAATCAATCTGCCTAGTTTAATCGTTGTGGAATTTTATCAAAGTTATATGGTAAAATCAACAGCTAAGCTGATTTTTTGGCTTACAGTCTGTTTCTGGAAGGTTTTTAAATTAATCCAGCGTGTCTTTTCGGTCATTACGATTCGAACGTCCGCAAGCATATCAGCATCGATGAATGCGGATGCTGATGCGTATGTTTTAATTTATGCAGATTATCAGCAGATGCGGATGCTAATGCCTCAACCTTACTTAAAACTATCAACATACATCTGTATGAAAATCAACTTTTTGTTAACGACTTTTAAATATCGTTTTCGATGTCAATTGTTTTGATTTCAGTTGCAATCAAAAGTGCACCTTAAATGTAATATAGACTTTGTTTAATATTCCGATATGTTTTGTAAGTATTAAATACTTAGATAATTTGGACGTTGATGAGAGATATTGTGGAGAAGGTTTTTATGCTTAAATTGAGGACCTTGGTTGCTTAGCGGTTTGCACTGTGGGCGCCGATGACGGAGATCTCGGGTTCTTTTTTTTATTGTAACACCAGGCGACAGGACGAACAAGCCGTGCGCCTGGTGGTTAGCGACACGGCTATCCATAACAGTTGCAGTGCCATTCAGAGCTTTAAATCGCAAAGATCTTATGAGCATAGCCACTGCGCTCGTCACCCTTTGACGTAATTTGACAAGTCTCATGTGCCTGTAATTTCACCACCCTTACTCTTCGAAATCGGAACGCAGTAATGCTCATAATACTTCTTGGTGGCATAAATAAGTAAGGTGGCAGTACTTCCCTGGATGAACATTTTCGCAAGGAGCTCTACTACTACTAAAGTATTAAATACTCGGATAGTTCAGACGTTGAGAGAGCGTGGAGAGGGAAATGGTTTTATACTTAAATTGAGGACCTCTGTAGTCTAGCGGTTTGCACTGTGGGCGCTGAATACGGAGATCCCGGGTTTGATTCCCAGTAACACCAGTTTGGCATGTGAACTTTTTGAAATTGGTTCTGATCTGAGTCTTCTGAGTACTGTCAAAGAGTGAATGCCATTGTTGTGGTGCTGACAAGAATTCCCTACTTTGAGACAAGGTAAATACCAAATGGTTGTAACCATACCATAAAGTTAATAAATTCAATTTTACTCAAAGAAAATCTTTGGCCAAACAGTTTTGTTACAAAGCCTTTAATGTTTTTGTCAGTAAATAATTCGTATTTGCCATTTTAGTGTTCATTCGACTTAAGTTCATGTAAACATTGTCATGTATTTTTTCTTAGTTATGTGTGTAAAATAGTGTAATAGTTTATTTACCAAAATCATTTCTATGTTCAATATATATCTATAAATAGAGCCGCATAATCTATGTAATTAACATTTATATTGGGAGGTCGTCACTGGTGTTGATTTTGTTGCAAATTACCAGATGTAAAATATATTGTACCTCCGACACAAAAAGAGGGGAGGATTTACAATACCGAAATGACGCACAATAAAATTGCGGCAATGCACAATAGACAACAGACCACGTATTTTTGACGTTTGTGAGTTGTAAACGTTTTTAAATAATAAATCCACTTAAGAAACTTAAAATTCTATCCACAAAAAACACTTCAAATTATAACGAAAAAAGTATCCCGCCATACAGACGACAGTGACAGTACGTCATCGCTCATATTGCTGTGTTTTACGATAAAAAGCTTACCAATGCATGTTTCAACAAGCTTTTAAATTGTATCGCGCGTTAAAATGTCGCAACTCCTGATTAGTCAACTCAAGGTTATATCGCGCAACGCGATAAATTGCGGCAATATGTTGCCATAATTTGTGCATTGTGAGTCCGCCTTTATAAGTGTAGTCTTTGTCTGTGTGTTTGTATGTTTGTCTATGGCATGGCAGTTCAAAAACGGATGGACTGATCTCAATGCGTTTTTTTTAACCGTACAGTCATAGTAGAACTAGTAGAGCTACTCCGTACCGTAACAGCGCGGCTTGTATGTGTGCGCAACAGTCGCGCGCCGTGTACAGACGTACACACGTACAAAGGCGAGTTGACACGACCAGTGTTATGCAACGGTAGAGCACCCTTACGCGAGGG